GGGGCGGGCGCGTACGCGGCGGTGAGAGCCTGTGTGTCGTCACGCGTGTGCGACATGGAGTGGGCGGGAAGAGCGCAGGGAAGGGCGGGGGGGGGGGAAGACCATGTGTCACGTGACCGGCGGGGAGGCGGTGCTGCCCGGGGCCGCCGCCGCCGCCGCGGAGATCGTTGGCCGAGGGGCGGGGGAGGCGGTCGTCCTCCTCGCGGGGCCCGCCGGCAGCATGCAGAACGTCATCAACACGGTGAAGGGGAAGGCCCTGGAGGTGGCCGAGTACCTCACCCCCGTGCTCAAGGTGCCGGTCCGCGCGGGAGCCTGGCGGCGGGGGCGGGGTGCAGTGACGGGAGGCGCGCGCTGCCTGAGGCGCTGGAGCCGTTACCGGTCGGGGGGACGCGCCCGCCCTTTTTGCGGCGGGGCGGCCGCGGAGCCCTCAGCCGCCGGGGTCGCGGGTGCCGACGGAGCGGCCCCGGCCCCTTCCCCCCCCACCCCCTCCGCCCCATCCGGGGTGTCGCCCGCAGTGCGGCCGCTGCCCGCCCGCTGGCGGCTCCTTACCGCCGCTCCCGCCTGCGCGGGCATTTTTTTCCTGCCGCCCCGGTGGGGTGTGAGCGGCGGCCGGGAGTCGCTCCGCCTTCCCGGAAGCCGACCGGTGGCCGCGGCTTCGTTTGTCGTCCGGGTCCGAGGAACTCCGTCGTTGCGGTGGTTTTCCGCAGCCGGCGGAGGGTCTCCGAGGGCGCGGTGCTCCCTCACGCCTCAGGGGGAGGCTGTGCTGGGGCAGCCTTGCGACGGCAAAGCCCTCGGCCCTCGGCCCGCACCGGGGTGTACAGGATGGAGGGAAGCCGGGTTGGAGCTCCTGTGCTGTTAGAGGTGGGAGCATTCACCTCGGAGGTGCGGGCCTTCGAAGCCCAGGTGTCGCTGGTCCTACTGCTGGAGGAGTAACTTATTTGTTGCTGTTTTCTATTAAAGTGGCTAAACTTTAACTGATTGTGTGACCAGGAATGGAAACCCAAAGGTGTTTGTGTACTGGTAGGCTTAAGCCCGGTTTCAGGAATGTGTTGCAATGGTTCTTTGGGTAAGAGTGCAGCTTCCCTCAGCTGACAGAAAAAACACCTAGTCACATCTTCATGATGTGAGCAGGTGTAAAGTTATGTAGTGTGGCTTATTTCTGTATCAGCGTTACTATATTAATAGAAGCCTCTATGTGCTAAAGTAACTGCGAATAGTAGAAATGGGGTGTTTGGTTCTTGAGAGCAAATTGTAACAGTCTGCTTGTAAAGGTGGGCAGCACATCTGTTACAGTTCCTGTTACTGCTTATTCAGGTAGAAACAAATTGTAAGTGGTTTTCTGCAGTTGTTAGGCTACACCCCATCTTCTGCCTTCTATTTATGAATACTTTTTCATGTAAAACCCAACTTGATGTGTTAACTTGTCAGCCATTCTTTCACATTTTTCCATGTTTTTGAAAAAATAATTCTACTGTAATTGTTTATGACAGCAGCCTCTCTGCCTGTGGTTTTATGGTGTGACCTTCTATGTGCCTTGTACTCTGCGGCTTACATCTTCAGGCAGAAGACAGTGATACTCAATTATTAATTGAACCTGTCCCTCTGTGGTATATAGTATGCTCTTGCCTGGATAGTAGACCTTTCTAGAGTTGCCCACCAATGTGACATCTATGGGCTGCAGTGAAGTTGTGGTGTGGAAAGGTGAACTGACTTGTTTACCATAGTACAGTTGCTGTTGCACAGCTGGTGCAATAGCAGAGGAATTCTTGTGCCCAGATGTACTATTGGGAGGAGGCAGGAGTAGACCCTCCCACAAATGCGAGGTGATAATATTATGTGTATATGTTCCCTTTGCAAGGGGTTGAAATAAATGCTCCAACTTGGTAACTTCAGAAAGAAACTAGACCTGTGTCTCTTACTAGCTTACACACCACAGAATGTACAGAGGTGAAAAAGTGAACTATTTACCTTCAGGGAACAGAGGATGGTTATTTTACATATTTTCCTTATGTAATTCCAGAAATGCAAGTTTGTGCATGTTGCCTACTACTTATAGTTCATTTTGAGGTTAAATAGCAAGTTGTCTCCACTGTGGTGTTGCATAATGTGTTATTGAGAATTCCCAGTTTTACAGCAATCCAAATTGCTAAATTAGCGTTGTTTGAGTTTCTTTGATTTCTGTTAACTAGCATATAGTGATGCTATGGTGTTTGTACAGCTGCTGTTTTGCTTATCTTAATCTTGTTCTTAAATGTCTCTTCTTTAGAAGTGAGGGAGAAAGGAAATAATCAGTATTGTATGAAACAGGTGTGCTTGTTTCCTTTTACATAGCACAGGTGATAGCATGCACCAGGGTGAAGCATCAAGAATAACAAAGTTAAGGGGTGGCTGGTTTTCTTTAATGATTTAATAAGGTGAAGTTGTAACCAAAAGTGAGGTACTTTTGAGTTGCTGCTTTTAGTCTTGATAGAAAAAAATTATGAGTTCTTTAGGGCAAGAAGTTATGCAGTAATTGATGATGCAAAAACTTGAAAAGTGAGCTATGCCATGGTTGAAATTGTATTCTTTTTCAAAAGCCATTCTTAGATAGCTCTATTGCTGGGGAACACTAGGTTTACTTGGTGCTTGAGACTTTTCTGAAGAAAAAAACAGAACAGAAGTCTGAAACAAAATACACTTACTCTAGATTTGAATACGCTAAAAAATGTTGTATCTTTAAACTTCATAAATGTCCTTAATGCAAAAGTACTTCATTTCTCCATACAGAACTAAATCATGTTGCTGCTCGCCATCTATTCTTTCATCCATTAAAAAAATGACAATATGAGAAAATCGAAACTGTTTCCATGGGTTGCATAATGAAGGCACAGAAATGGGTATTAAAAAAAGTTAACTAACTAAGTCTTTCTACATAACTTTTCCTACCACAGAGAAAAGTCGGTTTGGTCATTCATTTCATGACCTTTCTTAACTGCAAAGCCTCATATTGATGCATTGCAGTGCTGGTCAGTGCCTAGAACAGTCCCAAAGTCCTGACTGTGAGAATCACTGATTCCAGCTGGTTTTCTGTCTCTTACTGGCAAATGTAATACTGAGTGCCGGGGATCTTTTCTTCATTGATGATATAATTGGCTGTAGCAAAAAAAATTATTTCAAATATGTGATCTTTTTTTATAATACCCCACATTCTGCAACAAGTAATTTTGTTGAGCCTTACATTATAGAATATGGAAGTAAGCTGCCTATCAGCTCTGGCAGAAGTTGCCTCCAAGCTGATTCACAGATCTCTGTGGACAGAGCTAGTTCCAAGACAAAAGTAGAGCAGATGTTTTTCTTACTGGTAAGGTGGGGTACTTTGGTTTGTCACAAGTTCTCAAAATTTCTAAACTTTCTTTATTGCAGGAGTCCAAGTTTAAAGAAACTGGAGTAATTACACCTGAAGAAGTAAGTATTTAGAAACTTTGAAATACATTTTGAAAGTAATGATAAATTTTACTCAAAAATGACCATGTTCATCTTGAACAGTTCATGTCTTTGCCAACTAATTGTTACTTCTTGAAACAATTTCCATGAAGTGGAAGTTCTCAATGGCTTTTTTACTCTACAGATGCAGTAGATCAACAGAATTCCTCTTGAGATGGCACTTGACATCTGAATGTGGGCTGCTTTTTTCCTGTATTATGTCATGAAAAGCTTGTAAGGAAGCTCATGCTGGGCCAACAGCTCCATTTGTCATGGGAGTTCAAAACTAAAACAGGAATATATTTATTTCAGAAGTCTTTCCCCTAAGCAACTCAAAAGGGAACTTGTATTTTGGGAACAGTCTTTGCTTACCTCAATTTTGATTCCTTCCAAGGCTCTGGCTAAACAATTACATGTGTTTGTCCACACCAACTATCTAATGATTATTATTTTTTCCTTCTTCTTCACTATAGACCACTTCAGGCTGGTTGTATTTTGGAATGCTGCCAAGCAGTTGTAGTTTTTTAAGGAGTCTGCTGTGAAAAGAAACAAACAGGATTTTTTCTAGAATAGTAAAAACACTGTGCAGTGCTATTTTGACTTGCCCATTCTGCTTTTTCTCATATTAAAGTGCTACTGTTCTGAAAATACATTGTCTTTACAGAGGTATGAGAAAAAAATGTTAAGACTGTTAGGTAGAATGAAAGAAAAATGAGACAGAATGCACAAATGTGAAGATGGGATGGAAAAAGGTGGAACAAATGATGACTGACGCAGGTAGATAATGTGGACAAAAGCATTTTTCCTAACGTTGGTACCTGGCATTTTTCTGCTACGTTGCATGGCAAGAAAGCACTTGTGGTTTCTATGATCCAGAAGAGTGCTGGTCAGAAGAACAGGCTTAGCAACATGATGTTCTGCTGTTCTGATAACCATGCATATATGTGTGTGTATATAAATGTTTATATATTACATAGTGATATATTTATATATAAAACAAGTATAACAGAGAAAGTCTAGACGAATGTTCTACTAATGCTTAATCCCTTCTTGATCTATGGGAGAAAACTTTGTAGTAGAAAAGGTACCATCTATAGAACGTAGCAAGAGCCACACTATGTTACATTAAACAGTTTGCAGCATTTAAACACCAGTAAGAATGTGAATAGTATGTATTGTCTGTTTAAAGTTAGATGCTGACAGGATGAATAAATTGGATTCTTCAAAGCACTAGTCAAGGGAAACAATTATACGGCAAGAGTATTGTTTTGTTAAGTTTAGATGAGACTGGAGCATGGATCTGCTGATTGTCCCTTTGACAGTCTTCCTTCTTCCCTGATGATTTTGGTCTTATATAGTAATGATTACTCAAGAAGAATCGACGCTCATGGATAATGATGCTAGGATGTTATCTTCGAATGAGTTTGGATTTCTTGGGTAATGAATCTCAATTCAACTGTGTTTTAGTCTGAGACGCTGACTGTTTTACAGACTTTCTGGGGTTCCTGTGGCTTGCTTCTGAAGATGAATCAATTAGTGATAAGGCTAAAGATGACTTATTAATCAAACTCAACACCTACTCCCTCTTTTCATATATCTGTGTACTTGATTTAATTGCAACAAATTCTTGCCTGTCATGAGTTGTTACTAGTTAATACCTCAGAAAGATAACGCCTGTTTTCATTTGATATGTAAGTACAGGAAAACCTTAAAAATCATTCTTTCCAGGAGTAGAAATAAGATGTCCTAAAATTGATCTCTTGTCACTTTTGCAATATTGATTTAGGTATGAGATAGCATTAGCGCTTGAGAAATAGAAAGTGAAAGCAGCTAGATAATGTTGCTGCCTAAGCTGAAGAGAATGCAAATGGAATTTTAAGTATTGTTTTAGTTTTTTGTATCTGCTAGACCCACAAAGAACACTTTAAATTTTTTTCATCTTTAATAATGTATTTTAACACTGGTGCCACAAACAGTGTTCCAGTTCCTTGAATGGAGAATTTTAAATAATTCTGGAGTTTCATGTGTTGTTATTATGTAAAGGGTAATGAGTTTTAAAATTTCCATGTGTATTAGGAGGGATTGCTGTTTTCTTTAAAGTGAAGATTTCAGTTTTGCTAGAGAGTTTTGTTGAAAAATGGGTGAAAGAAAGCAGTTTTGCAGAGATTAAATCTGTTAATCCATATGCAGTGCGTGTTGTGGTGTTTTCCACTACGCTGATATGCCTCGCTTTGGAGGACGTGGTGAGAAAATGGCTGACACACTGCAAGCCTGTTGTGTCATTCTATTATAGCTTCTGTTCAAGTAGGAAGTACCTTTTTATAAACTGGCATTTTAAGGCAAGAAAACAGCTGTAGCAATAGGTGTGTACCTCATTTTCAAAAGTCACTGGTGCAAAGACCACACAAATCACTCTTCTAACGTGCAGGCTTGCCTTAATTTATGTGTACAAAAAGTAAGTCCAGTGGGTTAGACTTTGCTGGGTGAATTTTGAGTTTGTACACAAGTCCAGCATGAGTTTTCCAATATTGCTTTGCAATAATGATGTAATTTTATAAAATCCTTTATTTCTGATACTAAAAACAAGTAGAGTGAAGATTTTAAAAAGCTGTTTCTTCAGAAAAAAACTTTATAAGTTTTTCAGTGTACTGATTGGTTATCCATATTTAGTTAACATCAGTGGTGAATGATTATAGTGATGGTCATTACTTAAAATGCATACTGCTTATTCCTCTGTTCCAGTTCTCTCACTGATTCAATGAATTTATGTCAGTCTCACTTTTCTTGCTGCAAAATTGTTTTGAACACTGAAAGAGAATTAAGGGTTTTTTTACATTAAGCTCTTCATTGTCTTTGTAAAACTTTGAAGAGTGGCAAATAAAAAGTTTCTTCATCACAGAGTAAACAATGTTACTGGATCTAGAAACTGTTTTGCTTGTTACAGGACTGGTAGGTAATATCACAGTTTTTTAAACTTTATCTGAATTTGCTGTTGTGCTTAGCATGCATTTCCTCCAGGTGAAGTCAATTTAGTCTTTGTGTTTTCATGGTTAGCTGAGATACAGAGTTAAAATAAAGCATCAAACCGATATAAACAGTTACTACTTACACAGTTAATCTATCAAAGGAATGTGCAACTGAAATATTAATATTGAGAAAAATTGGAAATTGTTTCCTTATGCCATATTTAACAGTACTTTAATTTTTTTCCTGCCTTAACAGTTTGTTGCAGCTGGAGATCACTTAGTTCACCACTGTCCTACTTGGCAATGGTAAGTAAAATCAAAAGAATTACAGAAAACTAGCATCCCTACCCATGCTTTGATGTGTTTCCATTGGATGCAACTATACAGTTGTCTCATTTCACAACAGTAACTATACAGTTGTCTCATTTCAGAACAGTACATGGACTCTTCCAGTAGAACTTCTGCTGGTTTTGTGATGGTTTTATGATCTTTAAGTCAGGCAGGACTTATTGCTCTGTGTAGCAGTAGTTGAGATTTGTTTGTTTGTTTGTTTTCCTAAAGTTTTAGAGGAAATAAGCTAAGTACATAGTGTGAATGCTTTCAGTGCTTAGCTGCAGTAGCAGCATGTCTCCCTGAGCTTGTCCTGGTGATTGGTGATTGAAAATACAAAAGGCATGTGCAGCTGGAATTGCTAGGAAGTAGTTGTAATTGGTATATTTTAGGCAAGCATTTGTTAATTAAATATGTTCAAGTTGGCCAACATCAGATCACTTTGTGCAGTGCTTGCCCTTGGAAATCCATTATCTTTTATGTACAATAAGGGTGCAAATAGGGTGCTTCCTCATGTTTTACTGGTATCTTGCATTATAAAACTAATTAGTGCCTAGATGGGCATTGTCTGTGCAGTTGGTATCATCAAGGTTCTTGGCTCTATACTGGGCTGTGAATTACTGGAGGAGGAATTACTGTGCCTGAATCATTGTTTCTTGCCCTTTTACTGTCTCCTTCAGAGAAAACATGATGTTGAGTCTGGCCTATGTGCCAGCAGTTTGGAACAGGCTATTTAGAATGTTACTCTTATTTCAAACCAAAAACCACTGAAGGTGAAAGCAAATGCTTGAGTAATGTGAACTTGGCAAAGATTACTTGAGCTGTAGTGACTATGGGCAGGTTTTATATTTATAGAGGTCTATTTCTTGCTTTTTCTGAGGTTGCTTTCTTCATACATTTGGGACTATGTTGTTGCTGATCCTAGAAAATTTCATATAGACTAGATTGTCCTGTCACCCTGTCTTTGGCCATCTCAAAGTGAAAGTAGTTTTTGAAGCAGAAAATAGTTTTGATCCAAACTCCATAGTTTAGGGGTGGCCAACCTTTTTGACCCCATACCTATATCAAAGCCTTTGCATAGGGAAGAGTAAAGGCATAGCAAACAGATTCTGAGAATAGGTCAAGAGAGGTATATAAAATGTTCCTGATAAACACTGAAAATAGAAGGGTTCTTTTGTTTGCAGATCATCAAATTCTCAATCTTTTATGGTGCACTTCATTTTACAGGGCTTCAGGAGAAGAACTAAAAGTCAAGGCTTATCTGCCAACAGACAAACAGTTTTTGGTAACTAAAAATGGTAAGGCTGAAGTTTAAATATAAGTATTCTTAGGATTGATAGCATGGTTGACTGTGCTATCAACTCTACTGATTGTCTGTATTGACAGGGGAAGCAAATATCTTGCACTTTGGATGCTTTGGCTTTGCAATATTAAAAAGTTTTTCCTGCACATCTAAAATCTTTTCCTTAGACCAGTTGTTAGCAGGGCTTTATACTGGTAATACAGCTTGCCTTGGTGAAGTAGAAATGAAGTTTAAACTTTATAAACCTCCTTGTATGTCTTTCCTTTCTCCTGTCCGTCAACTCATATTCAGTGTCTAAAAGGAAAATGTTTATTTTCCTGTTTCTTTTGGAAAACTCAGGCTATTGAAGTGTTCACAAAACGTCTTTCACAATGACACGGATACTTCTACTTCAGATAGTAATTAATGTCACTATCCCTGTCAATAACAATAATATAAAATACAGTTTTAAATAAAATATTGATCAGCTTCATGGTTGTGTATATATAATACTTGTGGTGACTAGCTTTTTAATGAATAAGAAGGCTAACATCTTGGCACAACCACGGGGAAATCGTTTTCTCAGAAGATATTGTATGAAAATGTGTCAAAGATAATGCCATTAGATGAACCTTTAGTACTAAGAACAGCCTGAGCAGATTTTTACCTGCAGTGGGTTGCATTTTATACTTGGATTTCGCTTGTTGGCTTTTGGAGTCTTGCAGTGCACTATCATGTGAAAATGCTTACAGTAGTGTTGGATGGGCTTTCCTAAGATGGTCCTGATGGCTGGATGGCCAGGTGATCTACTTTGTTTCTCTCCCCCCGCCCCCACTTCCAGGGTCCCTCATTGCTCTGATTCTTCTAGATCACATTTCAAAATAATGTGTTTCCTGCTGATGGTGACACATTGGCCTACCACCTGAGTAAAAGTTGTGGGCTATGGGTGGAGGCCAGGAGCTGTCCTACAGACCTCATTTTGGAAGTCTTTGGAGAACTTCTCTTCACTGTAACTTTCACACCCCTCTCCTCCCTTTCTGAAAGGTCTAAGGGCAATTTACAAATTCTGCACTTCATGCAGCAGGTTTTTTTTTTTCTCCATATTAGTACAAAAGGAGCATTTTTAACATAGTCCTTGTTTATGATGTTGGATAATGCCTGTTTTGCCTTAATCATATCTGCATTCTTTCTTTGACTATTTTCTGAACACTTTGTATGAATCTGTACTTGAATGGCTCTGTAACGCATATGATTGTAGTTACTGTAAATAACACATTAATACTAATCTCTTCCAAACTTCTAGATGTTAATTTATAATTAAGCATACCTAATACATCACATAAATAGCTAATGCAAACTTTTAGCAGAATTCTGAAGACAAATCAGTTCAGTAAACTGATGCTAAGCCAGGCAAAGTTGTAGTTAAACTAAAAGTTGTTTAGCAATGTGAAGAAAACAAATAGGTTGTTTCCAGTTGTTAGCAAATGAGAAGTTAATTCTTTTCTAATCCTCAAGAGTGTGGATGAAAGTGCTCTAATGGGTAACAGAAGAATGAACTTTTAAGGCCACTGCAAGAGTTGTGCTGTACATGAAATAAAATATCTGGTACAGCACATAAACATTTTTTTTAAGTTCATGCTTTTGCAATTGAAATATACCTTTAGGATTCCTTAAATAAGGATGTATGAGAGACTGCCACATTTCAGAAGGCCTTGTAGGATAATTTCTTGCTCCAGTCTGGTTTTGTATAGGAGTGACTGCATTCATTTTGTTTTGCGATTTTTTTGCAGTGCCATGCTACAAAAGGTGTAAGCAGATGGAGTACTCGGATGAGCAGGAAGCAATTATAGAAGAAGATGATGGTGATGGGGGATGGGTAGACACTTTTCACAATGCAGGTATTCAAAGTCTTTTTTCAGACTTTGCATTGGTAATCTGAAAGATTTTCAGTTTCCACTCTTAGAAGGTAAAATCTTTCTTATATATAGATGACTGTGTACTAGTATCTAATCTGGAAGAAATAAGTTGTGTTGCCAGCTACCCACTTGATGGGTACAGGACTGCTCAGGTGTTTAACTGTATGGCTGTGTATGCCAGAAACAGGCTACTTTTCAGAGGTGTTAACAATAAATTATTTCAGTATTCTTTTATTAAAGTTCTAGGAAGTTATTTTAAAAAATGAGCTCATTCCTTAGTAAGGAGATCCTACGAAGAGAACGCTGGTTTAAATTAGTTGTTTGAAGAATATGCAAATTTCTCTTTTTTCGTAAGATTGCATGTGAAGCACATCTTTAAGATAAAGATGACCTCAACTGACTTAATTATTTCAGAGTTTCCCATTCTGTTGAATTGTTGGATTGAGCTAAAAGGGAGAATCATTAGAAAATGAATATTATTTTAGTATCTGAGGTCACTGGGTGAAGGAGGGCGGGGGGGTGGTGGCACTAAAAAGAAAGAAAATACTGTTAAATACAGAGACGAGTGTGGGAGATGATCCTTTTTTACACTAAGTCCTTAGATGAGCTTGTGTTTATAAAGAAGTCTAAAAATTACTGCTTACATGAATCTATCTTGTTAGCTTTTCTAGCACAGCCTCTTAAAAATCCTTTTGTTCTTTTCTAAGAATTGGCAGTTTTATTAGTTTTAGTCTTTTTCTTGATGTTCTATCGTGAGTTAATAAAATCTTTCAATGATGGTTTCTCCACCATTTCCAAACCTAGAAGGTACTCCACTCAGTTTTTACTTTTTGATGTAAAATTTTTGCTGTAATGTGGAAGAAGTTCTCTGAACAGTTCAGCCAGGCTGGGGAGAAAAAGGGTGAGAGAAGATGCCTTTTATTTCTGTAGATGTACATTTTTCGTCACTGGCGATTCTTAAATCTATCACAGTTCATAATTGAACACCCCACACCAAAGAAATCGTTTGGCATAGCTTTGTCATATCCTTGAATTAAGGATGCATTCTCCATCCCTGCTGTGGATAGGCCCCTCTGCCAAGTTTTTCTTTTTAGTGTTGACTGGTTTGGGCACCATGCTGTGGTAGCACAACTGTAACACTCTGACTAGACCTGGCCAGGTCTCCAAATGCTGTCAAAAGAGATTAAAAAAAAAAAAAAATCTGTTTCCACCCATCTGTATAGATGTCCTTTATAACTCCACTTTTTCTGGTAGGAAAAAACATATGTAAATGACCACACAGCCACTAGAATTGCATTGTTTCCAAGCAGTGTTCAACTGGCATTCCTTTTCTTTAAACAGTTATTTCTGATGAACAGTTACTTGATACCAGGTTCATTCCTCATAATGATGTAACTTATTTTCCGCTGAAGAGTTAATTAGATAAACATACTGTGTCAAAGCAGAATCTTGTCATGTGTCCCAAAGCGTACGGAGTGAGAGCTGCAGTAAAACTAGAAGGCTAATGGGGAGGAACTCAAGAGCTGATACTACTGTGATTTGGCATGTTTTTTACTCTGACTTCCTCTTGGCTAAAAGCATTGAGTGTTCTGCTACATTATGCTTTGTCATGAACACCTTGCTTTCAAGATGCTTAGAAATATTCATAAACGCATGCCTTGCTCATGAAGTTGAGTTCCATTATTGTGACATGAATGCCTATCCTGAACTCACTTTTATGCAAAAATTCCTTAAAATAAAAATCCAAATTACTTTGCAGTGTTCAATCAACAAAATTTGTATGACGTGCAAGAGCTGTGCTGTTGTGCTCCATGTTACTGGTATGGTTTGTTTATGGATGTCCAGCCCCAAGCATGCTACCAGTACCAAATAAACAGCCCTTCAAATATCAAAATTGTTGTGAGATTTAGCTTTGAAAGGTCATACGTTGCTTTCTGAAATCTTTTCAACCTCTTTCTATACTATTTAACAAAGAAACAAGCTTTTTTAATGCAAAATTCTTGTTCAATTAACAGGTATAGTGGGTGCAACAGAAGCAGTTAAGGAGATCACACTAGACAGTAAGGTACTTGTTTCTAAATTTTCCTCTTGCTTTATTACAGGACCTAAAGGTAATAGAAGTCTTACCTGCAGCAATCTAGTGCGGCCTGTGAAAGATTAAAATATACTTTGTCACTAGGTGTGTTGCAGATATACATTGACCTTCAGAGAGCCCATGATATTATTCTAAGTATGTGCATCTCCTTATTACTATGTGTTTACTGAGGCAGTGTTCTTTTTTGGAATGTCTTGTGCCAGGCTTCTACAAACTGAGAATGAAATTCTGTTTACAGTAATAGTGCACTGTTGTGTCTCAAGAAATCTTTGGAGATCCAGCATAAAGAAATTTTTATATGGAAAAATTATGTAGGGATGTAAAGTATTTCTTTGTAATCTTTAATACTGCAAGCAGAGTTTTTAATGCATTTGGTCCTGTTCGACAGGCTTGTGCCCTCAAGTTTAGAAGTACTAAAACTGCTTAAAGATATATGTCTTACAGAGTCATCAGTTTCTGCACACGTTTCCAAAAAGTCACTCTGCAGCAGTAGCCAAATCTGAAACTTAAGTCCTCATGAAACAGAACAGGTGGAAGTACTTGAAATGGAAATGAGTTAGTTAACATGTTTAAGAAATGTGGAGAAAGTCACAGAGACACAAAATGCTTTTAAAGATGAGTTGGTTGTTAAAGTGGAGTTGTGTCTGTGTGCTATGAGAGTTTGTTAAACCATCCAAGCACAAAACTTTGGATTCTAAAAATTAGGAGGAAAGAGAACAGGCTGCCGCATGCTACCGCACAACTGTAAACAGCTCAGAATGCTATTGATATGATGAACTGTGAAGTACGTGTATTTCAAGTGAGACTGTGCTGAACATAGTAAAAATACCACTTTTTCACAAGTCAGTAACATAAGGGTGGAAGAAGCACTCTAACGAATACTTAAAGGTGATCACTATTTCTGTGAAACACAATACTTGCAGAAAGTTATTGTGATTCATAACTGCTGTTGTGTGTTATGAATTGGACTTCACTTATATTGTATGTAGAAAAACTTGCTTGTTGTACAGTACTTAATTTCGTGGACCACAGGTCCAATCCAGAAGAACAACCCTCTTTCTGCTAATGTTCTGTTTGCCAAAGCACTTCACAACTTAGTTTCTTACTGATTTGGAGTTTTTTTCAATGGGGAAACCAGCCACCTGATGCTTACAATTAGAGCAGCCTCTAATTGTAATCATTATTTGGAGTACTCTCTTAAAGTCTTCATGAAACCTGTGTAAATCAAGACCTCCCTCTTCTGAATTTCACTGGGATTATCCTGTTGGGTTCAAATGCTATGCGTAGGCCCACAATGCCCAAAAGAGAAAGTTGGCTGAGGGCTTGTACTGTATTCATTTCTGTTGGACTGTGCTTCCTCAGACAACGATATCAAAACGTTATATCTTTTGGGACTCCTGTGTTTTAAAAACAGTTATGGAACTGGATGATGGTCTTCGTCATATGATTTAATTTTAGGTAGTCCTGTGAGCAGCAGGGATTTGGACTCGATCATCCTTATGGGTCCCTTCCAAGTTGAGATATTCTGTGATTCTATGAAAACTGCTGCACAGTTGGCTGTGGGTTAGGACACACAAAATCTTAACCTGCATGTACTAAACATAGCTGTTTAGTCATTGCCTGTCATTTGAGATAGGTGGATTTTTTGAAAAGAAATTATGGGCTGTTTAACACCATGCTTATTCTTCTTTGCTTAGGACTTGAATCATTCCAGATTACAAAGTCAAAGGAGAACTTTTTAAGCGGATTTTTAACATCATACTAGGACTTTGAAATTAAGACTGGTTAATAAGCAAATAATTGAGTTTAGTATAGTCTTCCTTAACATTGCAGAAATTATGTTTCTGGTTCACTGTATGTATTGACTGGACTTATACCTTGAATTTTCTGGGGCTGTTAGGCTGTGTAGATGCAGCAGTCTTTAAAGCAGTGTTTTCAATTTAACTTCTAAAGGATGATATAAAAATACCAGAACCTTCAGCGTCTTGTGAGGATGATGATGAGGAAGATGAAGGAGAAGCTGCAGACATGGAAGGTATTTCCTTAAATTGGGTGGGACATGCTTTATTTCAGGCCTTTAACTAAAGCAGTACACTCTAAGAGAACACTACTCTTCATGGAATGCATGCTGACAAATTCAGCAGGCATATGCTGTTTATCATCTTTTGTATGGTCTTATTGATGCATGTTTACTCTAACTTGTGTGCTGAAACCTGTGTGAACGTTAGTGACTGGGAGATTAATTTGGATAGCAGAACAGATCCAAGCAAGTATAAATTAGGGATTTAGCACAGCTTCCTTCCTGCTTCATACCTGCACTTAAACTCAATCTGCCTACTTAAAACCACTTAAGGGTTGCTCATCATGTACTTACTGTAGGCTTGGTCAAATTTGTATTAAAAAAGGTATAGTGTGGTTTGGGGATTGGGAAGTCTACCTGAATAAAACATCTTTAGATACAAGTAGATTGTTTTAAAGGAGTTGTTTATGAATGAGAAATATGATGACTAGCTACAAGCTGAACACAGAATTTTATGGGTCTTCTTTTCAGAGTATGAAGAAAGTGGGCTATTGGAGACAGATGATGTGAGTGAACAGTTCTCTATCTTGTCTGTTACAATGCTTATCACCAATATGAGCACAAGCAAAGTAAAAATAGTGATAACAAATGGATGACATAACAAGCTTGTTATGAGCAGTGGGATCAGTGAGCCTGGTTTCCTATGGATTTGTCTCCTGCCAACCTGCTGCAGTAACCTTGACTCTTAGGTCTTCAAAGATTTTGATCACAGTAATTTTGCTTTTTTTTTTTTGCTTATCCTTTTCGGTCTGCTTACACACAGTGCTGTATTCGCAAGAGATAAAAAATGCAGTGGTTGTTCTTGAGGCTTATATGTGGAGGATGAGTGGCTTATAGGTTCAATAGATTACATTGATGCACCAGACTCATGAGAGAAAACAGAGGGCATCGTTATTTGTGGTACTCTGCTAAGGTCTTAATGAACCTGCATAAACTGAGACCTCTGTCTTCTGAATTTCATTTGAATTGTCTGTTGGGTTCAAAAATTATTGGTGAAAGAAGGGAGGGGGACGTGACAATGTAGTTGCATGGTTCTTTAAGAAATCGGACCTTTTTTAAAAAATAAAAAAAAACACCAAAAATAAAACAAAAAAACATTTGGTGGGAGAGAAGCCGATACTCCTAATTTAAAGGTAAAAACAAAACCCAAAAGCATATGTTTTTTAATGCTTACTTAAGAACATTAATTTCGGTTTTACAGCTTTACGTAACTACTTAGGATGGGAAAGGAGGGAACTGGAACAAGACTATACTAATGTTGTCATTTTTACCTTGAACCAGGCAACGCTTGACACAAGACAGATTGTAGAAGCTAACAAAGCTAAAGTTGATGTTGGAGGGGAAGATGCTATTCTACAGACTAGAACTTATGACCTCTACATCACTTACGACAAATATTACCAAACTCCAAGGCTCTGGTTATTTGGATATGATGAGGTATAGATATGTTAGGGTTTTTCCCACTTCTGTGAAATTAGATTCGCTGTGTCAAATAGCGAGGCTATTTTGTTGCTTATTCATAGTTGAAATTTAAAGGAAAAAATGGTGAGAAAACCATTATACAGTCAGGGCTGCAATCAGTATTTACGGTACTTTCAGGAAGTAGGAACAATTTCACTGAAAATTGTACTGTGTAACTGAACACATTTAGAAGGAAGGAAATCATGCTCTGTCATCTGAGTTTGTTAGCTCTGTAGACCTAGTAATAACCCCAGTGAATTTAATCAAGTAAATAGGTATGTGTTTTCATGATCTTCAGAGGAAGAGGATTAGATAAATCACTCTTCCCTTTAATGACTAAGTTTATTGAGTTAAAGTTGGCTAGGGCTTACAGCTGAAATACCTAGATGGGAACCTAGATAGTTTTCATATATGTTGACTTTACAATTCACCTGGTATAGTAGAACCAAAAAATTGTGCAGTACTGTTTTTATACCATATAGATTTTAACACACTCAGTTCTTTCAGTGTACCTTCAGAACTGTTGTATATTAGATAATTATAATTTATGGTGCTTCATCTATTAATGATGTTGGAATCTTTTGCTCCTTCTCAGCAATTCTTTGTTAGTAATGCTTTTGTTCTCGTGCTCCTTTTTCCCATATAGCAACGGCAGCCTTTAACAGTAGAGCATATGTATGAAGATATCAGTCAAGATCATGTCAAGAAAACGGTGACCATTGAAAACCATCCTCATCTTCCTCCACCTCCCATGTGCTCGGTTCATCCATGCAGGTAAGATTTTCTTTCTGGTCTGATTCGGCATGCAGACACAAGGCACTTCACTGGTCTTGCTCAGGATTTGGTTCAGGTTTTCTGGACACATTTACACAGTTGGCTGCCATAGTGGTCTGTTAGCTTCTGAGGGTGCTCTTCTGAGCACTTCTGAGTGCTCACTGCTGCAAGTGTATTCTGCAGTTAGAGCTGTCTTCTCTGTTCAACTTGCTTTTCCTCCACTTCCCTACAGACTCCAGAAGATGGCAGACTACTAGAACTCTATAAAAGAAAGTTCTCCTATACTTTAATTCGCTGCTTTTTGGGGAGGGTAAAAGTATAATGTATATTTTGGGAGTTGAAAAAGCTATTTGAACATGAAATAACTCTTTCTTATTTTGTAATAACTACCTTCTGCTCCCCTAGAAGTCCTTGAAATTTTACGCTGATAAATAGAGGTCCTCTAATTGCCACACTGAAATATTTGTTGAACACAACTGCAGAACACACTTGTGTTTTCAGGGTCTTTTCTGTTGCGTTTTCCACATTTCTCACCCAAGACATAGGGAGTCTGTAGTTTGACTAGCTGCACAGATATTTTTTTCTAGGTCTTTGAAAGGTGTCTTTCATCTTAGATGTAGACCCTAACATCCTTTTAGGTATCTTAGTGATACAGAGTCAATATCTTAAACAGTGTAACTCCTCAGCTTCTTGATAGTATGAAATTCTTAGAGATAGGAGTTTGGCATTTTATCTCATTTTTAAAAAAGAGACACCCTTTGTAGTCTTGCATATGTTTAAAAAAAAAAAAAGTCCAGGTTGCCCCTTTGAGTCTTGTAATTTCTTTTGACTTAAAGAAGCACTTCATGTCACTAGCTGAGGTGTCAGTAATCAGCTTGTTGTTGACAAGCTTGTAGTAGTTTTTGCAGACTCAAAACATTCTTGTTTCTAGTTTAGGAATTATTTGATCATAAGATTAGTCTTGGGAAGGGTATACTATTCTTTAGAGAGAGAGCAAGGGAGCTTTGCACCAAATAGTTTACGGCTGCTTTTGATCTTACTATGAGGATGTATATTCATGGGCTTTGTAAATCTGTATCTTGTGTTTCTTCCAGTTCATAGTTCTTTAACTACTGCTTTACAACAGTCTTTGCTTTCACCAAGCAGGCAGGCTTTTCTCTGGACAATATTGAGCAGAGAAGCCATTGTACAACTGGGAAGTAGCTTTTTTTCCCCAGTTTAGCTGTCTTATAGAAAATCTTGAACTGGTAAAGTTTATTGTAGGTCTTTAAATTCTCAGGTTTAAGTCTACACTGACACAAAAGGCCTGTGAAAATGTCAGTCTCAGTGCTCAAGAGTACTACAGGAAGCGGAACTTAGAAAACTGTTAGGAAAAGAATAAAGAATAGAACAGAAAACAGCATAAGACCTCTCAATTTGTGGTACCACCCACATGTTGCATACTGCAGTACAGCTCTGGACATCTGTTCTCTAGTCTGTGAGATGGAGGAAGATAAACTGGAAAAGATACAGAGGGGTTGTCCAGGATAACTGAGGTTATGAAGCTCTTTCCCATAAGAAATGATTAAATAACCTGGGACCCTTCAGCTTTGGAAGAGGCAGCTGAGAAGGGAGTTCAGTGACCTTCATCGTGAATGGTACAGAAGGTGAAATAATAGGTGTTCAGGTTTTTTCTAATAGTAAAACTGGTGGTATTTGAATGCTACTTACTGTGCCTAATTAAACTAAATATTTATTTAAGCAATATGATGTTAATGAAAGAAAAATTTGTCAAGAGTTGTTAAAAGCGAAGTTAGCAGAATGCTCCAGAATTAGAAAGTCCCTGGGTTACATACTGCTGGAAACTAGTAGTACTTTGGGGGAAGCATTACTAGATGCTTGCTCTGGCCTCTTTCTTGAGCACGTACTGTAAGATAACAAACAGGATGCGGTAGACCTTTGGTTTGATCCAATAAGGTATTCTTGTACCTTGTATGAACATACCAGTCTTAATATGTCAACCTGTTAGTGACTTTGTCTTACTGTTTGCTGTCTGCAGGGTTTTGGACAAAAAAATGGATGCAGCTTTTTGTGCAACTAGTGTTTTTGAAGGAGTGTCAGGTGGGATGAATGTGGGAAGGCTTAACAGGCCTAACTAGGAAGATGATTAATAGGAGAAAAGGAGGAAAAAAGGCCTGAAGCCACGGCTTAATTTAGGGATTGCTGGAAGCCCAGCTAATAAATTGGTTGGGAAGAGGCTCCTGTTGATGGTTGCAGGCTGGGAGGGCACTCTCAGAAGAAACAAAGATGACCCGATATTTGGGCATGACGGCCCTCACTGACTAGGTAGACCTGTGGGTTTTATACTGGCCTGTGGCTGCAATGCAGTCCACTTAATTTTGTGAACACCTTTGCAGAGTAAGAACCAATTTAATGCTGGTCTGTGAATTTGGATTGAGAGTCTTCACGGATGAGAGCTCTGTGTGCATGTTCTCCCTTCTTCCTCTGAAGCCAGTGAAGTGCCAGTGCCTTTGTTATGTATGTAATCCACGTCTACACTTGAAGAAATGGCTTGCATCATGGCACTTGTTCCAATTAGTCTTTTAAGCATGAAAGAGATGATTGATATCACAATGAAACAGATTTGTTGGTGGCCTTAATTGTGGAGGAAACTGCCTAGTCCTTCTCAGAAAGCAATCTAATTGACCAGCAACTGCTTAACATTGGAAATGTTTGAAAAGGTCATCTTGAGACTGAAGAATGAGGCTAACAGCGTATCTAAGATGGAGATTTTAAGTTATGTTCTGTTACTCTCTGAGGTGAGCTATTCTATTTTCTTAAATTGGTGTGGCTAACAGCTAATAAGGTCTGGGCTTCTGAGGTGAAAAATAATAGCTGAAAATGTTGTTTTGTTCTTAATTTAGCTAGGAAGTACCAGTGTTTAGCTAACTCTGCTGCTGTTGCTTCCATGCACGTTACAAGAATTGTGTAATGGAGGGTATTTGGATGGTCCTAAACTTATTTGACTATTTCTTGTGACGTGTCTATCTGTCATGCGTCAGAGAAAGGAAAGAAACAGCAGTCTGGTGCTGCTCTCAGCTGCTTGAGATTTGCTTCTATTTTGAGTAGTTAGTTGAAACTGTTCATCTTGCAGCTCTGCTCTAAGTTATATTTCTTGTCAGCATTTTTATGGTACTGGAACATAGTCAACTTCCTCATTAATTGCTGTAAACTGGTTTAATCACAATCCTCAACTTTATGTGGGTGTTATGAAGGGACTATCAAACTAGTTAACTACTAAACACATTTACAATTATATCTGAATTACTTGCACTAATTCCAAGGGCTTATTTTTCTCTGTTTTAGAATAAATGGTGATAGGCTTCTGAACTCTTTTTTTCCTTCTTATGTACTTTATGAGTATCTGGACGGAAGTGACTAGAGGCAACTGGAAGGATCAGTGAATTGTGTATTTTAAGGTTAACTGACTATTGCAAATTCTGAATGTTTCTCCTAATGATATTTGTGGTTTTTTCCACACCTGTCTGATTGTGTGTGAGCAGTTACAGACACTGAATCAAATTCATAGGTAATTTTTTTTCTTGAAAGTACACTTTCCTAAAAAGTCTTGCATTTTACGCTCTGTTATGGAAGCTTATAGTTGTTACCCACTACACTGAAAGCCCTGTGGAAGGCCTTTTATCTCTAGGAACTGCAAGGGAGGGGGAATGAAAAATTTCTGTAGGGCTTTTTTCCCCATATGTCAGGAAGGCTTTTATTTTTTACTTTTACTTTCTGATGGTACATATTTCCCTTTCAGCAGATACTCAGATAATGTCAGTATGTCAGCTGTGCTGAATTCCAATGTGAAGTTGATAAATATTTTGACTGACAGCTTTGGTCAGTTGCAAAACAGGAGAGGCATTCTCCAGCTGGAAAGCAAACATTCCTGATGAGAGCATAAAGGGTCATCTAATCAATCTAAGAAATCAGCTTCTTTTTTTTAACCCTTTAATGTATAGTCTTAACTCTGTATATCTTAGTTTGTTTTCAATAGGAACAGCAGTATTTCTGACTTGGAATATGAATAGTAACTCGCTTATATTACTTGAACCACCTCAAGAGTTGGCTGACATACCTGAAAGTAAATTAGGTGATTTTTAGTAGAAGTTTTAAATGTCTGATCTATTTGATAGCTCAAGTGATCTACAGATGGGTCCTGGAACAAGCACTGGGGAGCATGTAGTGTATTTAGTCATCTTAAGAATTACTTCTGGGGGACTTTTTATTCAGAAGTAAAAAAAATAAAATAAAATTGAGACTTCTAGATAGCAGGATATTTTAGATGATATTTCTCCCAAAGTTCTTATTTCTTTCCATTGGGGGGTATACATATTTCATATTAATTCCTCAAAATTTTCTTATAGAAGGAAACTGAAAACAGGAAACAAACTTTTCAAAGTTTATAAAGCATCTGGAAAGCTTTTCAGAGTAACTGTATGACAGTAAGAATGACCGTTACTGTGGCTATTATGGAATTGCAGATATCTAACTAGTCCTTAGAAAACAAAAAAGAGCAAATGTCATTAAGATGCATGAAGTTGAGCCGGTATCCTGTTAAAGACTTCTAATAGCTGTAGGGTGACCTGTATTCTGTGCCAGTACAAAAAATAGTCCACCGTTATGGACAAGGTCAAAGCTTAAGTTTTGAAGGTGGCCAGGTTCCTATAGGGAAGCAACTGGCCTTGGCACCTGATAGGGCATGTGTTCTTCAGGGGCATCATGAGGATCCAGAATTGGAATCAACTGTGAGGGTTAGCTGATCTGCAAAGACCAACAGCACAGTGAATGACAAATGCTGACCTTTAGTATCTCCCCAGACTTGCATGTTCCTGTTTACAATGTGTCTTGGTAACTTTGCAACAGCTTCCTTCCTGGTATTTGCAGTCGCTGGCAGCATGATTAACTTTGAAGGTAACTACTAAATGCCAGTTACTGATCAGCTATTTAGATTTGCATGGGCAGAAAGTTACGCAAACTCTGCTTACCACTATTCCTTGTTCTCAGTAGGCACGTAGGTTGTTTCAGGATGGGTATTTTAAACTACTACTGATAACTAGTTTGCAGTGTTGTGTAGGTGGATGTCTATAGCCCTATGTGTCCTCACCGATAAAGGTTGCCTACAGAATCATGAATTTAAAACAGAGTTGAAGTACAGATAAAAGTAAGATGAGTTATACAACCTGGGAGTTTGTGTTAAAAATATATAAATAAAACATCAGCTAACCATATGGTAGTTCTCCCCTCTGATGTTGTATGTTCTTCATCCCCTGGTTTATGGGGTATAAGAACTATCCTGAACACAAGACCATTACTTCTGAACTGTAACTGATTGTGAAAAGATTTGAAATCTTCATCACTGGAGGTATTCAAAACCAGACCAGACAAGGTCCTGAGCAATCTGTTCTGGCTTACTGCTCATTGAGCAAGGTGGTTTGGACTAGATGATGACCAGTCTCTTCCAACCTTAGCTGTTCTGTGATTCCATGTTATATTCCCAGGATCAGCTTTGTACACAAATGTTTGTGTGGTTCATAGTGGTCTGGTATGTCACTGATGACTTAATGTCGAAACACAGTGACCTGAGGAAATGTTTTCCTCCCCTGTAATGCTTTTACAATAAGTTACGTGAGAGAAGCAGCTAGCTTAGAAACACAGAACCCAAGTTACCGCTGTAGCCAGAGAAAGTTTCCATACCCTGTCAGTCCAAGAGCAACAGTTCTAAATTTCTGCAGGGTTGGTTTAGCCTGCCTTTCTTAGGAAACTATGAATTTTATAAGTGTTTGATACCTTGTAAGCTCTACAAATATGAGTGCAGCAGAGGCAGCTAAAAAAACTTGCAACAATTTCTAGGCATTTTTTTCAGGGGTCATTTGGGAACTTCTGGTGGCTTACTGCTGGTGAGGATTACCTTCTGGGGACTTACCTGGTGGCTTCTGTGGCATTTAGCAATTAACAGTTACACTAGTGACAAGCAATATGTATTGATTCATTATAGCACTCAGTCTATGCTGTAGCATAGAACATCTTTCTCTTTCCTTGTGAAAGTAAGGAGTTGGCAAATAGTGTTACATTCATCATTTAATATTAACTTCCTGTTATTGTTGAGATTTTTTTTCCTTAGTAAACTGAAAGCTTCCTCTTGCTGCTTCTGAAGCTAACAGTCCAAAACTATTTAATTTGCCCAAAACCTAATGTTATTGAGATGAAGAGGTAGCTACATTTTCCTTAAAGTATTTTCACTGTTTCTGATCTGTTTCTCAGGCATGCAGAAGTGATGAAGAAGATCATCGAGACTGTTGCAGAAGGTGGGGGAGAACTTGGAGTTCACATGTATCCTTTTTTGTTACTACACAGTATTCTTGGAGATTTCTTGCAGTGTAAGGAGCTGTTACCTCAAGGTTCCTAAGCTAAAATGCAATTGTGTGTGAAAGCAGTAAACAGCTGTTTGTGGTAGCGCTTACTAGACTTCTGGGATGAGCTCCTTTGTGCAAACAAACTCTGTTAATCAGTTGTTGGGGGGGGAGGAGGAGGGTGGCAGGAGCAATGGGGAAAGTAGGTAGGAGTGAAGGGACAGGATTGAGCCCTTATTTGTAGGGATGTGAGGGAGGTAGCTATCAGTATGAAACAGATCCCAGTGTAGGAGGATGAAGCTGGAGGTTCATAGGCTCTGGCTAGAGTGTAATCACTCTTCTTGGTACAGCAGCTTCTGTATTAGATTTGAATCTGAGATTCATTTCTGAAAGGTGTAGAGGTCCCATTATTCTCTACTCTGCATGTGAGCAATATCTTGGTAAAACATTCAGCTGGCAAAAAAGCAATGAAAATTACTGAAATAGTTCTGAACATCAGTATCAAATGCCTCACAATTAGAATTTTCTTAGTGAGGTGACTGTTCTCAGTTATGCTTTGTAGTAATTCATACTGTGCTTTCTGACTGAAGTAACCTCTGTGTTAGAAGCAAGTATGTCCTTTCAAAATAGTGTTCTAACTGCTTTTGCTGCTATAAGCGAAGCAAGGGGGGATTACTGAGCAGCTATAGGCCCTGAATTAGTAAACTTCTCGTTCACTGTACGAGTTGAGACTTGCTCAATTTGTGCAAGCAAGCAACTGAAACTGAACTGCAGAATAACTTTTTCTGGCAAGGTAGTTCAAGTCTTTTACTCCTCAATAGTTAGAAATAGCTTATTTTCAAGATTTTAATTACTTTTTTTTTGCTATTGCTAAACAAATTGAGGGGGTTTTAACAGGCAATTTCTTCCCACGTTATCATATAGTTTGTCCTTGCCAAGAAACGGTCCGTGAGACTGACATGCCAAAATAGTAGGTTTTACTTCTATCCAGTACCAATGTAACTTAATTATCAGTTGAAAGTAGTGATTTGTTTTAATTTTTCTGTTCGCTGTCTGCCTCAGTCCCAGGTGCACAGACACTTCAGTTTTATAGTTATCCAATATACTCCAGACTGCAGATTCAGGACCAACATGCATTTGGAGGTGATATACACAAGGGAGATGAGGAGGGTCTCCTCTGCAAAGACAGACTTCTCAGCTTAGCAAAGCTAATCTCTCTACTTTCCCTCATCAACAGGAAGGAGCTCTTTTAAAGGATAGTTCAGAACAGGAACCTATTTCTTTTTCTGAGTGACTGGAACACTGAAGGAGGAGCCTGCTTTCCCTGCAACTACAGGCAGGTAGCTAGGGATTAGCCTTGCTAGGTGCAATTCACTTTGTCATTTGTTAATAACAAATATTAAGTATGTAAATGGGATTGTAAATGTTTGTGTGGTGTTTGTAAGATTTATTGAAAATAACTCCTGGTTCCCTGCTTTAACTTAAAACAGGAAGGTCTGTATGTTTGGGCAAGCATCAGATGTCATTACTAGAGTTCTGCTGTATTAATTTCCCAGTTTCTAACTGTATAATTGCTTGGTGTTATTTTCCTATTAGCAAGAAATACAGTTGAGCAGACCACTGAATTTGACTTCTGCTTTGTCTTACAGGATTTCTAGCTATTGCAGATTTTCCTTAACAAGA